TTCAAGCAATTATTGCCAAAACAGACGCAAAGCACTCATCGATCATATCATGGAAGGCAATGAGAAGGAGTGGTGGAAATACAACTTCGAGTAGATCCAGTCATCCATGTCTTGTCCATGTCTTGTCCATGTCTTGTCTACTCTATCACTCCATTCAACCACTTTTTCCTATAAACTCAATAAAACTCTTCATTTTATTTTATTATTGTTTTCAAAAAGGTTTTAATTGATGTAAATATGAAATAAATGCTTATTTAATACAAACAATGAAAGCAAGTAATGAAATGTAATCAACGATTCAATTAACGATTATTAGAAACTAGTTTTCTGTTTATTATTATTTTGTGCAAATAGTTTACGCAAATTGTCATAAATCTCTTCATTGTATTAATTTAATAGGCGTTAACTTTATACTATTTGAGCGTTATATGTAACGGGCGTTATGTATAACAGGGGCTATTAATGCTTCACTGCAATACTAACAAAGCGTAGGTATGAGTTATCCTAAAGCGTTGTAGACTACAACTTGTAGTTAAGCATTGCCTCCTTTGCTAGTATTGCAGTGAAGCATTAATAGCCCCTGTTATACATAACGCCCGTTATATATAACGCTCTCGCCGTATATGATTTAGTTTTTTAGCAGTCTAAGAGTTTTAATAATTGTATTTGTTTTCAATTTATTCGACATAAACAAAAAATAATAGATTTTAAAAATGTAAATAATTACCGGTAATGATAATTATTATAATTTTGTTTATTTTGATTGCATAACTGGATTATTCCATCAAAAGAATTACGAGTTGTTTTGTAATCAACGGTTAATTAATCATAATAATTATGAATTTATAATAAAAATAGTAATTTTTGTATTCATTTAATAACATAATTTAATTGAGAAATAAGTGACACTTAAATATATTTGTAATTTAATTAATTTAATTTTTTATGGCTTAAAACAGTTTATTAGAAATGGATTTTATTATATTTTATACAGAAAATAGTGATAAAATAAGATACAAAGGGAAGGGAAGGTACGGGTGCTGTGGCTGTCGAGGCTTACAATTCAGTTCGTGTTATGGTTTGCGATGAGTCGGGCTTTGGTTTAACAGTAGGTTTTTGTGCGCTTTTCTTGTCATTGACTGACTTGTCCTCCGAGTCGACAGACTTGGTGTCGATGTGAAGAGTTGTGCCGCTCTCGACCGATACGGACACGTGTTTCTTGGTTCGGGTGATCCGCAGGAAAATTAGCCGACATATCATTGCTATTACTTGTCCTCCGAGTCAATAGACTTAGTGTCGATGTGAAGAGTTGTGCCGCTCTCGACCGATACGGACACGTGTTTCTTGGTTCGGGTGGTCCGCAGGAAAATGAGCCGACATATCATTGCTATCATTACCGCAAACAACACTACAAACAGCACCGATAGGCCTATGATTGCTATGGTCGCCAAATCAGCCATGAGTTTATATCAATTAATTATTACTTTTAATTATTATTATTATTTATTACAAACTATTTGTTTTATTTAATTAGACTTTTTTAGTCGTTTCAAAGAATATTTACTATTTAGGAAATGTTTGGTCTGTTTTTGTAAGAAATATATGATTTTGTAATTTTCTAACGGATTTACCAAAACTTAAATTAAACTTAACTGTGAAGTGATTTAAACTCAATTTGTTTATTTCAAATGTGAGACAATAATTGAATTATTAATTTTTGCGTGAATTAAGTTTGTTATCAAAAGTAAATGTTATTTTGATAAGTTATGAAATAACAATTAAAACAATAGCTATTTATTTTAAATTCATTTATTAACCGTTTTATATGTATTTCTGTTATCATTATTTATACAAATTATAAAACTTTGATTTTGTACATAATTTGTGAGCTTTAAGTTATGGCCGTTTCTCAGACACTACGCCTGTTATTGATTATAACAGTGATCACAACCAGTGCTTCACGTGATTACTGTGGATATGAACCGGAAATCTATACGCGTATAAAAGTTGCTTTCATTATCGGGGATACACTGTATTTGGGGAATAGGACTCATTTCTTACAGACCAAGTTCGCCGCCACTGACCAGAACCTGTACTTGGATACCGTCGATGACATCTCAACTGTGTTTCCCGGATGTAATTATAACGGAATTCAAACCCCTATTTCTTACATTAATTAACCATTACTTGAATACCCAATGCATACAAGTGTTGATGACAAGCGTTGAGAGTGTGCTGTACTTCGGGACAGAGGATGAGTGCCGGCAAACGCACACCGATTGCAAGATAATGACCAAAGCTTTTGACAAATCAATGATTTTCGGATACGCGAAGAATCAATTGGGTGAGCAGTATCTTGAATACAGGACTTATGTGACCAAAAACGGTGCCATCACTCCCGTCACGTCTGGTGAAGATATGCCGTGGGGTTTGGCACCCGATTCCATGGCCTTTCCCAGCGCTTTCTGGCCCCGAGACCGCCCCTATAGATACGAACGGTTCGCCTTCGACGCCAACTCCCGTCGACTGTACGTCACGACTACCCGTACGGAAGTGTTTGGCGTCACGGAGAGTGAACTACACTACCGGGTCATCGATGAGCGCATGGATACCAACTATACGACAGTTACTGTCAGTCGGGACTACAACTCCATACTCGCCAAAGACCATAATCTGTTTGGTCTTCACAACGGCTCGTGGTTTTTGTTGCAAATAACTGCCGATAAAGCCATCGAAAGCAAAATTGTAAGTTTGGTTTTTTTTTGTGGTGAAATTTTGTTAATTTTTATTGTTTTTGTATTGTTTTTAAGTATACAATGAAAGAGTTTGTCAATTGCGGCAAAGATTCACCACTTTTGGCCAAAACAAGTATTTTGGATGCGCTCATCGCCAACGGATCCAGTGTGACAGATGAGCCAACACTGGCCACACATGTAATGCTTGATGAGACCACTTCGCTATCACCTCAAACCTCTGATAGTAACAGCGGGTCGTCCTTTTGGATAATTTTAATTCTCGGTATAATTATCATTGCGTTGATTGCGGCCATTATCTGGTCAGTGATGATGTGTAAGTCAAGTGTTTGAGTCAATGGTCGCGTTGTTTTAATTGCTAATTAAATGCATTGATTAGGGATTAAATCACAAGTGGGTCCCAACGAAGAGTCGACGAGCGGTCGCAACGATCNGATTGCGGCCATTATCTGGTCAGTGATGATGTGTAAGTCAAGTGTTTGAGTCAATGGTCGCGTTGTTTTAATTGCTAATTAAATGCATTGATTAGGGATTAAATCACAAGTGGGTCCCAACGAAGAGTCGACGAGCGGTCGCAACGATCCCGACTCCAAGATTGTCTCCGAGACCGCCGACAGACCCCACGCGAAGACTGAAGGATCCAAAGGCAAGCAAATGCCCAAAAGTGAATCCAGTAAAACCGAAAGGTCACTGTCACTAAAATCACCAAGGTCCACACTCGGCAAATGAGATAATGCACTTTCTTTGTTGTCTCCCACATCCCTCTCATCCCATGTTTTCTTCATAAGAATTTTATTTAATTTATTAGAAATTAATTAAAAAAATAGTTTATATTTATAATTGATTTGTAATAATAAATCTGATTTTTATAACCAATTTTTTATGTTTCATTTACTTGTTTCATGTTATTATAACTTTTGATTTATTTGCATTTGTTTGAGAATTTCAACAACAACAAAAACTGTAAGTAAATGTACCATAAAGTAGTTATTGAAAAAATAAGGTGATTCTAGTGATTATGTAGTGTTTGTCTTTCAATTTGCAATTAACAGATAAAACCTCAAACTTTTATTAATTTAATTTCAATTATTGACTTCAATGAGTGATAAAAACTATAAATGAATTGAGAAATCGTTGGCATAATTATTGAGCGCATGAAAAATGCATTGAATTTTCGCCACAATTCAAACTATTAAAAAAACACTCAAAGAATTTGTGACAAATGTTTATTATATTAACCCTTATTTTCCTGATCTATACTTTGATCCAAAGATATTTTTGAATAGATTTTGTGTGTGTTTTAATTGCATTGATAACAGCGTGTGTTTGCGATGTCGGACACAGCCATAGCGCCGGCCGGCGGACCCACGAGTCCTAACGCCCAGACACAGCCCACGGGTGACGAGGGGTCCGTTAAATCGGTGTCCAGCAAAGCGGGCGCCGAGTCGGCGGGTGTGCCCAATCGCCTCAACGAATTGGATTTGAATGACATCACTGTTGAGATTAAAAATCTGAAGTTTACATACGAGAGCAATAAAGCCGGATATCTGTTGAATGACATCTCCCTAACCTTCCCGAGGGGTGCGATGTATGTCCTCTAAAACTCAATAATCTCTTCTGTGGGTTACCATTGATTGTTTAATTTAATCTTTTACATCATGGGATCAATCAGTTATGGATTCTTAGGGCCGAGCGGTTGCGGTAAGACAACAATCATTAAGCTAATAGTGGGACGACTGAAGCCAACGGAGGGCACGATTAGAGTGAACGGCAAGAAAGTGAACGATCCCAGCAATAAGATACCCGGCGTCGGCATCGGGTATATGCCTCAAGTGAGTGCCCTTCACGTCATGTAGTTTATGACATGCGGTGCTCTTTGTGTCTAATTGTTGTTGTGTTTTGAAACCGGCGATAGGATTACGCCCTTTACGGCGAGTTCACAATACTGGAGACAATGCACTACTACTCCAGTATCTATGGATTGCCCGCCAATTTCAAGAAGAAACGGATCGACTTTCTCATCAAATTCCTCGAACTTCCCGATCCAAACCGTTTGGTTAAAGTCCTCAGGTTTTTGGCCAATTATTTTCATTCATTGCTAAATCTCTTATTGTTTTTACTGTTTGTTTATAACCCTATAAAGTGGTGGTCAGAAGCGCCGGACATCGTTGGCCATCGCTATCATACATAACCCGCCGCTACTCATACTCGACGAGCCGACGGTAGGCGTGGATCCGATGCTAAGGGAAAGGTATTATACATATCAATCAAAACTTGCGTACAGTTTGTTGTTATTTTACGACTCCATTCCTCTCCAGAGTGTGGAAACATTTGGTGAAACTGTCGACAGAGGAGAAGACATCGATACTGATCACCACTCACTACATCGAGGAGTGCCGAAGAGCTCACGTGATAGCGTTGATGAGGTCCGGGAAGCTGTTGGTGGAGAACTCGCCGGCGACTCTTCTGCGGCACTTCAAGACCACGAGTCTGGAGGACGTGTTTCTACAGGTATGCAAATTCGAGGAACAGCCCAACAGTCCCGCAGATATGCCGATGACTGTCGGCGACGAGCGTAAGGCTCGCCAAAAGGGCGCCGCACAGCCGACAACACCCGCGGCCAACAAACCGCCGCCAACTGTCAGCTCTAACTCCACTGTCTGGACCCGATTCATGGCTATTACCCATAAGAATGTGATGAGACTTTGGCGACAAAAATTGTATGAAAAACCAATCGATGCCTTAATTTTGTTGTTTATAAAGTGTGACAACTTTTTTTTTGCCTCCCGTATGGGTGCAGAATGCTATTGGCTGTGATTATACTGCCGGCGCTAACCCTATCCCTGTTCTGTCTGTGTATTGGCAAAAATCCCCACCACTTAAACATCGCTGTCTATAACGCGGACACAACGGCCGGCAATCTTGGCGACCAGTTTTTGGACAAAATTGACACAAAAACACTTGTTTTGGTCTGTATTATGTGTTTAGTAAAGATTTCGTGAGAAATAAAACTGTTTTGAAAACAACCAATTTATAGGAAAGGCACTCGTCGTCGGACTCGGCTAAGGAGACGGTGAGCGATGGCCACACATACGGAGCGCTGATCATACCGGCCAACTTCAGCGCCTCTCTCAAGACCAGAATCGGCGCCCAGGGATTTATAGTTGACGACCAGACCCTCAACGACAGCACCATTGAATTTTACGGCGACTTAACAGGTATGCAGTCTATCGCCTAAAATCACTGACACTAACAGTCAAAACATTCAACACTTTGTGTTTGTTTCGGCACCAGATTTGGTGATCTATCAGACAATGTTTGGTACACTACACGAGGCGGAGGTGGCGTTTCAGCTGATGATAATTGCCAACACCGGTGGTAACTCGTCGGTCAAACCCAACCCGAAGGCGATGTTGCCATTGGTTGAGTTCAAGGCGGTGTACGGGTCGACGCACCCGCTGTTCCGCGACTTCGGGACACCGAGTTTTATCATAATCGTCTCATACGTACTGTCGATGGCCTTAACCGCACTCAATATGGTTACCGAACGAAAGGAGGGACTACTCGACCGGACACTAGTGGCCGGCGTCACGATTCCCGAGATACTGGTGGCCGAGATTGTCATCCAATACGGGGTCCTATTGTTTCAGTTGATTGTACTCTTGTTAGTCGTTCTCCTCGTGTTTGACGTGAAAAACGAGGGAAATCTGTTGCTTATCCTACTGTTGGCCACATTACAGGGCGCCACTGGCATGGCTTACGGTATGTACACAACCCGTAATCAATGCACTATAACCTTAACTACAATACTTATTCCGTAATGGATTTACCACTCAATAGGTCTGTTCGTATCGGCCATCAGTAGCACCGAAGAGGCGGCCCTAATGCTATGCGTGGCCTCATTCGTGCCATATCTGGTCATATCGGGTGTGTTGTGGCCGTTGGAAGGCATGCACTTTATGCTGCAAACCATATCCCGGTTCACTCCCCAGACGTTACCCATAATCAGCTTAAGGAATATTATGCTCAAAGGCTGGGGTCTCACCTATACTATGGTTTGGTCCGGATTTATGGTCACAATCGGATGGCTTATCATATTTATAATACTGGCCACCATTTTCAGCACATTTAATGGTTAAATAGACATTAATTTATAGTTATTTATTGTTTTATTTTGTAATATTTTTTGTTTACTTTCAATTCAAACAAACAACAAATCAAATTTATTTGTATTTATAAATGTATATTTTATATTTATTTAATTAAAATCTTTTATTTATTTAATACAAAAGATTTTTATAATGATCAATTTATTAAAATGCAATTTAATATAAAAAAGTATTAACAAATATATTTGAAAACAGTAGCCCCACCCGCGTACACATCGCTCAGGTAACTGATCCAAGTGGCGATCCGTTGCGGACCAGTGACCGGCCCGCCAGGTATCATATGAAACGAGTCGTAATGGTGTCCATAATAGCCGCCAACACTGTATCGAATGACATTCATATCTTCGGCGGTACTCATGTCGAGACCCGTTATGGCACTCATGCGACGGCTGATCGCAGCCACTAATGGATGCTGACTGTCCTTAAGCCAACTGCCATCAGCTAACCGGTCATCGGACCGGATGTATGCGCCGGTATCCTTGTCCACCACTGACATCCGGTTTAGGTTATTGCCAGACAATGCTTTCATTAGCGTTATTTCAAACTCGGACAAGAATTCATGGATAACTATAATGTCTGGTATTTTATACATTTCCTCCACTTTAATACGAGTTAACCGTAAAAATGGTATTTCGGATGTGTTTAAGTGATAGCACTTCAATTGAGACACTAGTGTTTGGTTCAATAGTTGAATGCCTCGACACAACTCCTGATGAATTTTAATGTTTTTGTCTAATTCCTGATTTGCATTTTGTGTCTCTTCCTCTTCTTCCTCGTAATCGTTGGATATATTCTTAATAATGAAACAAATGATAAAATATTACACAAATTGTCTGTTTTAACCAACCATTAACTCCAGTGATAACTCGTTTAAGTGATTATCATCCGAGTCTACAGTGATATTCATGGATTCCTTCATGTAATTAATGGCTTCTTCGTAGTCCTTAAGTTTATAATAGGATAACGACATGTATTTGAGTATATCTGCCCTCAACTCCATCGACACACCACTGTCTTCAATGCTGGCCCTCATAAGAGCTGTTTCTAACCATTGAATTGAGTCCATGTATTGTTGGCTATCGTATGATTGTCTCCCAATTGTGAAACAATCAAAACTTGTTAACATATTAGAGGTGTCCGTTTGGGTAAACACTTTGTGTTCACCAAAAGTGGCCATGTATTCAATTAAACCGGTGCTCATGAGTCCTACGTCCAGTTTGTATGTCTTCACCAAATTAATGACACCACTCACAGCATCTGATATTAAAATTATTGTTTAATTAACTTTTAATTAAACATAATTTACAAATGTTTTATTGTTTTTAACTTACAATACCTGATAGACTATAATTGTGAATAGTGTTGATTTGTTGCATGTATTGAGAGATTATTTGAATTAAGTCTCGATTTGGTTTAACCCTATCGTCCACTTCACGCCATTCAATGGCCATCCGTTGAATCAGTTTATAGACACCGATTGGATGCCCTAAATGCAAGTCTTTGTCTTTCATCACCGACTCGTGCAGATGTGTTAACTCGTGAGATAATTGTCTCAATCGTGTTATCCTTTGCTCTTCATTTGATAAATAATTTCGCACATTATTTAACAAAACATTTTCACTTAGCAATAGTAGTCCCACTTTTGGATAATTCAATTCAATACAACATATTTGTGATGACAATAACGATGCAAACAAAACAATGTGTGTTATTATGTTTAATATTTTCATATTTTTGTTTAATTTTTACTTTAAGTTTGTAAAATAAATATTAAACTCTAAATTTCATTAACAAAATTGTTATTTTTGGCAATATTTTCAAACGAAACACAATAATTATTTAATCGTTATGTAATAATTGGCAATAAAAGTATACATGTGTTTAAAATGTGTTTTATTTTGAGATTAAACATGATTTACAGACATTTAATTTAAAACTTATGAGTTTAGGAAAATAAAACTATAGCTTGTTTTCTAATAAATGATATTGATGCTTTTGAATAGCGCAGGGCTTTGAAAACTCTTGGCCACTCTCTGGGATCCATTTTGTGGCAATCAATTTGCTACCGACCAGTACTGGGCATCCGGTGTGAAGCGTTCGCATATCGATCAGACCCGAGCTCTTCAGGTTATACCAGAACAGAGCCGATCCTTTGGTCGGTGTTATCGTAACATTCAAATAGGGAAACACTGTTAGACCGCCGGCGTCCACATCGCTCAGGTATATCATATAAGTGGCCACTCTATTCATGTCCACCGCATAGACATCATCAGTGATAGTGGCGTTGGCCGGCGGGAGGGCGTCGTAATGGATGGCATAGTGACCGCCGATGTTATACTTAAACACGTGATAATCAGATACTTGTCGCACGTTTAAGCCGGTTATAGCGCTGATCCGTTGGGTAACTGCGCGGAGCACCAGGTGGTCGGTGTCGTTAAGTTTGCTCACATCAGCCAATAATGTGTTGCTATCATGTGATGAGCGCTGAGAACTAAATTGGACTAAAAGTTTGATGGTTTGGATCTCCTGTTCAGATATGAAATCATGAATGACCACAATATCAGGTCTTTTGTACATCTCTTCTACTTTAATACGAGTTAACCGTAAAAATGGTATTTCAGTCGTGTTTAAGTAATAGCATTTCAATTGAAATCTTATGGACTGATCCAATGAGATGTCTCCTCGACATAGATCGCGGACATGTGCCGTGAATTTGTCTTCATGTGATTGTTTGTGTATCTCTTCCTCTGTTTGGTTCTCAAAATTGAATTCATCTTTCATTTTCTAAACGAGAAACACATTTAAAATATCAATTATTATTAAAATTAATTTATAAAGTGTGTCTCAATACTACTTTACCATTACATGTAATGCTAACTCTTTTGAGTGTTTATGCTTTGAATTGGGATTTTTGCCAATTGATTGAAGCATAAAACCAATGGCTCTGTTATAATCATGTATTTTATAATAAGAAAGTGATAGGTATTGAAGAATATCGGCTCTAAATTCATCCGACACACCATTAACTCCATTATCCGCACTCATGAGCGCCACTTCTAGCCATTGAATTGATTGATTGTAATCCTTGTAATCATAGGATTGTTTGCCGATTAGATAGCAATCACTAGCCGTTAGGTTTGTATCAGAATATATATTTCTGAATAACAATTGTTTGTTAGATGTGTTGTATTTAATCAAACCGGTGGCCAATAACGGTATGTCCAAAGGGTATGCTTTTAATATACGTGATATACCTCTCGCCGTCTCTGTTTTATTAAATGATAACTTAATGGTAATTGTATTTTAATGTTTACTTAAATTACTCGTCAAGTCATGCGTGTATATGAGCTTTAAATTAGTCATTTGATCCGATAGTGATCTCAAGAATTGTCTGTCGGTTGTTATGAATTGTTGTATTTCTTGCCATTCATTGACCATACGTTTGATGAGAAGGTAAACACCGATTGGATGTCCTAAATATGTGTCCACATCTTTGGCTGTGATTTCATTCAATGCGAGTAACTGTTGTGACAATTGTCTCAATTGTAACAGTCGTTGCTCTTCTCTCTCCACATATTTATTCACATAATTTTTTATGAGAAAATTTTCGATATATAAAGAAGTTCCTAATTTTGAAAAGTTTACATCAAAACAATTAACAAATATATTGATTGGTAGCAAAAATATCACAAAAATGCACATCAATTGCTTCATATTGAACCTTGCACAACTGAATATAAAAATAATGATAAGTTTTGATACTTTCAAACATGAGATTTAAAGAGACTTTATTAAAAAAGTTTAATAATAAATACCTTACGTAAAAACAAGTGTTTAATTATTTAATTGATTTCTGACAAGTTTAATATATAGTATTTTACTATATATTATATTTAATGAATCCGTGAATCTCACAAATTGCAATTTTTTTATTAACACGATATTATTAAAACTAAAAATATAAAAAATTAGCAGGGTTATATTACAGAATTATATAAACAACATAAACATTATCAAAACCATATCCATAAATTAAAATACTATTTCTAATTCATTATTATAAGTAAATTCAGACATATTTGTCAATTAAATTATATTGATCATGGTCGAGAGCGCACGGCTTGCGGAACTCTTGCCGGGCGTCGAGTATCCATTTGGTTGCAATCCATTTGGCGCCCACCAGTACAGGACAGCCACCGTGAAGGGTATACATGTCCACATAGCCCGATGCTTTTAGATTGTACCAGAACAGGGCGGCCCCTTTCATCGGCTTAATGGCCACATTGAGTTTGGGGAAAATGGTGTCACCGCCGGCGTCCACATCGCTCAGGTAGTTGATCCAAGTGGCCACACGTTTCAGGTCCTGGGCGTACACCCGGTCCCCAACATTGGCCCCATTGGGTGCGACCACATCGTAGTGGTAGGCGTAGTGACCGCCGACGCCGTACTTAATAGCGTTATAGCTGTCGGCACTCATGGCGTCCAACCCCGTGATGGCTGAGATACGTCGGGTGAGTCGATCGATCACGTGATGGTCACTCTCGACGAGCCAACCGCCCTCAGCTACGCGACTATCAGCCACGACATACGAGCCCTGATCTACTGTCCCGACAACTGTCGACCTCTTGAGCCGCGGAGTGGCCAACGCTTTCATCACATCTGTCTCTTCGTCCGACAAAAAGTCATAGATTACCACAATTTGCGGTCTTTTGTACTTCTCTTCCACTTTAATACGAGTTAATCGTAAAAATGGGATTTCAGTCGTGTTTAGGAAAAAGCATTTCAATTGTGATGTAATCGTAGCGTTCAATCGCCGCACTCCTCGACACAACTCTTTGGATACGCTTACGATGTCTTCGTGCGGGTCTTTGGGGGTCTCTTCAGCGTCAGGTGTTTTGTACATCTCTTCCTCTATCTCTTCAGTCAACTCTTCATACACTTCTTCCTCTTCTTCCTCCTCTTCTATCACTTCTTCGGTAGAATTATCTTTAATGAGTAGATTCTAAATGATATAAACGTAAACATGAGAGAGAGAGAGAGAGAGAGAGAGAGAGAGAGATCTTACAAATAACTCAATAAACAACTGATTGATAAGATTTTTCTCATTATACGGATTGAGATTAATTGAGTGTTGCATAAAAAAGACGGCGAAATTGTATTCTCCCAACTTATGATAAGCCAATGAAATGTATTTATAAATATTAGTTTTGATTTTAATGGGCAAAGTGTCGGAATCGGCTCTAGTGATGGTCACATTCAACCATTGAATGGCGTGAATATAATGTTTGTCCAAAAATGATTGTTTCCCTATTAGATAGCAATCCATAGCGTTTAGCGTTTGGTTAATAGACAATGTTTTAGTGGTGTTAGCGATAGTTTGGTCGCCAAAGTCCTGGCTATACTGTACCACTCCGTCGGCCAATAAGGTTACGTCTAACTGATACGTGTCCACCAATGTTGACATACCCTTTGCCGCGTCTGATGAAACACGTGGTAATTAAAATTAATTCAATTTCGTAAAAAAACCTTTACTTTTTTAAATACCTATTAACTCGTTGTTTAAGATGAGATTCTGTGTGTGTTTATAGACATTAGGGTTTGTGAGCAACAGATCCTCCAAGACTTTCCACTCAACGGCGAATCGTTTGATGAGAAGATACACATCAATGGGATGTCCTAAGTATGTGTCTAAGTCTTTCATCGCCATCGAGTTCTGTGTAGTGAACTGATCCGTCAATTGTCTTATTTTGGCCAACCGTTGCTCTTCAAGCCCTATGTATGCGTTCAAATCGTGGATCCATTGGACCTCTTGCTGTAAAACGTTTTGCAATTTTGTAAAATTTGTGTTAAAACACAACACTTGACAAACAATACACAATAATAATAAGATATAAGCCGTTAATTGATTAGAAAATAATAATTTATTCATATTTTTGATATAAAATTTTTGTTTCTTTAAAAAATTAATGTTTGAAATAGAAAAATGTAAAAATAAATTCATTTAACGTCTCATTACTGTTGGAAATCAAGACATCTGTTAATGCAATAAAAAGATAATCATTAGTAAAATAATAGGAAAAATATGTTCACTAAAAAACATCAAACATTTTGCGTCTGAAAGTAATTATTAAATTTTAAGAAAATATAAATATTTTTTTCAATAGAAATACTATTGCAATGAATTATATTCATTGATGTCTAGAGCACAGGGTTTAGTAAACACCTGTCCCAACTCGGGTATCCATTTGGTGGCAATCCATTTGGTGCCCATCAGGACAGGACAGCCGCCGTGCAAAGTGTTCAGATCGACAATACCTGACTTATAGAGGTTATGCCAGAGCACTGCCGACCCTTTTTCAGGCCATACGGTAACGTTAAGGTGCGGGAAAATGGTCGCACCGCCCGACTCGACATCGCTCAAGTAGTTGATCCAAGTGGCCAATCGGTTGAGAGCGTCGCCGTATATACGCTGGTGAAGCTGTGTATGTGAGGGCACAAAGACATCCCAATGCGGGGCGTAATACCCGCCGATACCGTACTTAATCGCGTTGTACTCTTCGGCCGCTCGGATGTCCATTCCGGTGATGGCGGCTATGCGTCGGCTAACGGTGTCGACCACCGCGTTGTCTGTGTCCCGAAGCCAACCGCCCTCTGCCACCCGGTGTCTGTCCTTTTGTTGCTCTTTAGTTACCTCGTTAACAGTGGACGTGCGGTACAGCTTTGGTTTGGCCAACGCCTTCATCACCTCTATCTCGTGGTCGGCCAGAAACTGGTGGATGACCAGCACCTGTGGTCGGCGGTGCATCTCCTCTACTCTGACACGTGTGAGCCGTAGGAACGGTATGTGCGCTGTGTTTAAGTGAAAGCATTTCAATTCAGACCTAAACGTGTCGTTCAATAGATTCACTCCTCGACACAATTGTTTAGTGAATTGGTTTTCCAGATTGTTTTGCACGTATACCTCGTCCTTCCCGAGGGATAGGGTCTGAAAGTGAAGTCAATGTATTTGTCAAAAAGCATTAGTATTATTTTATTTTTGTTGTTTTCTTGAAATTAAGGATTGTATAATACAATTTGTATTGAAAGGTTTGTAATGAAATATTTATAAATATAATTTAAGTAGAGATTTGCTGTAATTCTTAAATAAAGATTTAAGTGAAATAGACTTGAAATCTTTATAAAAAGATAATACAAATGCTTTTAATGTATTACGGTTTATATGTTGTAATGCGGTTTAATATATGCTTTTTTGTAAATGAATTATTTTATTGTTTTCAATTGATTATTGTGTTCACTATTGGCCTAAAATATCCATTGATTATTACTTTTAATT